TCCTGGGTACAAACGATTCTCCTGCCTCAGCCTCCCAAGTAGTTGGGCTACTCCCAAGTAACCTGCCTCCACGCCTGGCTAATTTTTGTATTTTTAGTAGAGAAGAGATTTTGCCATGTTGGCCACGCTAGTCTCGAACTCCTGACCTCGTTTAACCACCGGAGCCCAGCCCCTGTCATTTGGTTTTGAGCATGACTTTTATTCCCTTATATTTTAGCTCTGAGGATTTAAATACTAATCTATAGCAAATGCATAAATGCTGAAGCCTTGGACCCATTTTTTGTTCAATCAGTTGTTGAATGATGAAGATTAGAGCAAAAGCATTCTGATAGGAAAAAACATGACCCACATTTTCTATCAATTACACTAATAAATTGTGCACAAAAATGAAGAGACGTGGCAAAAGAGACAGTTTACTGTTCATTTCAGACTGCATCTTTGCCATTCAAATATGTGGGGTCTTGTTTATGTTACCTAGTCTGTATAAGAAGAGAGAAAATTGGACTAGAAGCTAGAAATCACTGGATAATCAATGCCATTCCTCTGTAATGTCATGCTATGAAGCAGTATTCCTGCAAACAAATATTGCTTACAATAGCTTCATGGTATTACCAATTGAACATTAGAGAAATGACTTTTCTATCAAATTCTTTGAATTATCAAAGTATTTTCTTATCTCCTTAAATATTACTCCTGTATTTCTGCCCTTTGAACTCACACCAACTACTATCACCACCACCACAAAAACTCCTAACAATGTAACAGCTGTTCAATTGTTAAGGAAGAAACAGAGGTTCAAGAGCTTTTTCCTGAGTGGATCTATTCCAGGACAGAGGTGTTTTAGAGTCAATATTTTGCAGCACAGTAGTATGTTAAAGTACTTCTGAAGCATCAGGGAGCTGTGAACCAGCAAAATTCCTGCCGGGTACAACCACATCCATTCCCTTTGAGCCATGCTGTTTAATTCTTGGAGCCTGCTATTTGGGTAATGTCAGCACACTAGTGAAATGACTGAAAAGCTGAAATTGTTTTTTTAAAAGTATGCATGTATGGGTTGGGCATGGGCAGAATGGGCGGTTTTATTTAGAAATGTGTTCATTTTCAGTAATTATGTGGCTTGGTCAACAATAAAGTGCTATGAAGAAATACCTCAAAATACCTGCAATAACATATTTTTAAAATACATAAAGTAGGCCGGGCGCAGTGGCTCGCGCCTGTAATCCCAGAACTTTTGGAGGCCCAGGCGGGCGGATCATGAGGTCAGGAGATTGAGACCATCCTGACTAACATGGAGAAACCCTGTCTCTACTAAAACTATGAAAAATTAGCCGGGCGTGGTGGCAGGTACCTGTAGTCCCAGCTACTCGGGAGGCTGAGGCAGGAGAATGGCCAGAACCCGGGAGGCGGAGCTTGCAGTGAGCTGAGATAGCACCACTGCATTCCAGCCTGAGTGACAGAGCGAGACTCCATCTCAAAACAACACCACCAACAACAAAGCAAACAAACAAAAGCATAAAGCAGCACAGAGAAGATAATACAGGGACATTGCAGTGCACTTCCCAGATAATTCTTTAGGATCAAGGCACTTCCTGCTCCACGTGACTGGAGTCTTAGCTCCTGATTGCTCCTAGCTAGGTCCCTCTCCTGTAGTCGGCATTGATTAAAGGAAAGTGCTTCATCCAAGGCTCTACTCCTTTCCTGAGGACAACCTGCACCCAATAATTTGTCAATGTGAGGATACAAAGGTATGGACCCCTTGTATCAGGTGGGAAAGGGAGTGATCCTGGCTCCAGAAATCCCCCAGAGTGTTGGTGGAAGCCTCTGTTGTACTTCATTGCTGTTCAGCCTCACCCTCTGCCCAGTCCTGTATTCCTCTCTCTCATAGGTGTTGTTTCCAAGAGCTCTTCTAAAAGCTTTCATTAGTAATTTTCTGTCTTAGATTCTCTTTCTCAAATCACCTGACCTAAGAGCTATATGTATCTCTGGCTTGCTGGCACTGAGTCCCTCATTTCTAGTGGTAGGTGGGGCACTGATACCCCCTGACATGTGGTTGCGGTGAAATTCTTAAAATTTCCATCAGTGTAGAAAATGTCCCTTCAGTGTAGAAAATTTTACAGGAAATATCACAGGTGTTCAAGAAGTTTGGAGAAATCCTAATTATAAAGATTTTGGAATAAGATGACTTGCTAGGCACCATCAATGCCTTGAAGAAAGACAGCAAAATGATAAAGGTGATTAATCATCAATATAAGGCACAGTTTGAGTGCCAGAAGGCCTTCATGGCAACATGTAAACTCTCTTCTACTATAGCCAGAGGACAGAAAGAGCTGAGGATTGGACCTAAGGCTTAATTATAAGAGTAGCAGAACTCAAGAGAAACTTGAATTTCCAATGCTCACAAGTTGGCTAACAAAATTAGGAGTGGGACTCTGGGACTGAGTGTGGGGACATCTGGGTTGACATACTCAAAAATATTGAATCCCCAGGATCCCCTTAGCACTCTAGGCCTCCAGAAGAATCTCATCCTTACTTGTTAAAAACTTTGTGCTCATTTCTTCTTTGAAGATAAGGCAGAGGCTATGATATTGCAAGACAAGAAACCCTCTGAGAACCCACTTCTAAATATCAGACAAATAACTAGGATTAATCTTCAACATAACCCAGACAAGGGTGTACTGAGCCTGTTAAAGAAATACAGGGATGATACTCTGAAGGAGCTGCAGGGCCTACTAACAGGCTGGCAGGAGCTGGGTTTGTATATGTGGGCTTGGATCACATGAGATAGTACATATGCAAGTATATCCTGAAGGTCCTGACCAGTAAGAATGGAATACAAAGTTGGATATGGGAGATTTTATTCATATGAAAGCATCCCCCCATGGTACAGAATTTAACACTCTAGTAAGAACACTGAGAGACAATATTCCTAGGATAACTCTGGAAGCTTGGATAAAGTGATGATCCATACAAATGAAGTAGAAATACTAACTCTTTCATGGTAAATGGTAGAAAGTCTCAAAGAAGTGGATAGTATAGTAGAGTGTATATATTACTTAAGGCTAGAATAGCATGAAATAGCATCGCATGCTATTTCATGTGATGCTATTTCATGGAAGGGACTGCAAAATAGTTCCTTTACTAAAGAAATATGGAATTTGCTGGTTTTTTTAAAAAAGCACCAGAATTAATAATCACAGTGGTGGAAATTCTGTGTAGGCCAGAGCTAATAGTAAGAGATGATACTAAATAACTGGGCTTCCTGATAGCAACAAAGATGGTTGCAAAGATGATTGTCAGGTACAAGCATTTAATCACCAGGAGCAAGATTGTATGTGCAATTATTGTAAAATGGCTAATAGAAATAATGCCTCCAAGAGCAAGATAGATGGGCATCTAGCAAAGATATTGCTGAATCTTTACAACAGTAACAACAAAAGAATCAAGGATAGATGATTTGGAGGCTGAGGGGGTCTGCTCAAATAAAAAGCCCACTATCCCAAACCCAGTTTTCACACCTGAGCCAGGTGGCAGACCTAGTTCCCCCTGACAGAAGGACAAGCTGAATCCCCATCAGAATAAATGTTTCAAACATGGCTCTTATCTATGGCTTGTAGCCATTTACTCAAGTAATCATATGGTGGGGAAATGGGGATATCCATACTTTTCAAGGACTCTTGGACAAAGATCGAGATGACATTAGTATCCACTGACCTTAAGCTTCATAATGGTCCTCATGCTAGAAAGGTGGCACACATGGTCCCAATATCAAATGGAGTACTGGCAAAGGTCAACTCACATTGAGCCAACTGTACATAGTTGAAATGAACATACTCAGTAGTTAACAAAACCTCTATATAGATTCCTTGATCTGAAGATAAGAGCTGTCATAGTAGGGAAGGCCATACAGAAGCCTCTTAAAGTGTCCCTGCCCTAGCCAAAATTAAAAAAATCGTAAACAATATTGGATCCTGGGAATAATGACAGAATTAGGGTTACCATTCAATTATGCAAAGGTGGTGGTTCTCATCATATCTCCCCATTTATTAACCAGTTTGGCCCCTACAAAAAAACAGAAAGATTCTTAAGTGTGACAGTAAACCATGAAGACAATAAGAGATAGTCCCAACTGCAGCTGCTGAGCCAGATGTGTTATCTTTGTTAGAGCACAGTAACATGGTCTCAGGTATGTGATATGTAGCCAATGATAAGCTAGACTGATTCTTTCCTATCCCCATCAGTGAGGAGAGCCGGAAGTAGTTAACATTCATGTAGGAAAAACAAGAGTATTATAGTCTTGCCAGAGGCCCAGTTAAATTTTCCACCCTCTTTCATAATATATTTCAAAAGGATTTGGAGTGTTGAAACAAACATTCCACAGATGGGATTTGTCCACTATTTTGAGATTGTTATTTAAAATGGACTCAACAAGTAAAAGTTGTCAGAAGCCTTGGTAAAACATATGAGCTATGAGGAATCAAGGACATACCATACTAATAATGTTTTTAGGGATCCAGTTATGTTGGGTATGCCAGGACATCTCCTCCAAAGGAAAAGACACATTATAGCATCTTGCACCTCTTTTCACTAAGAAAGAAGCATAATGTCTGCTAAGCCTCTTTGGTTTCAGTCAGCAGAATATTTCACACTTAAAAAACACTACCCTGCCTCATTTACTGAGTGATCTGGAAAGCTGCCATGGAGGAGGAGGGCTGAGTGTAAGAAAGGGCTCTGCAGCAGCTGTAGGCTGCAATGCTTGCAACCCTGACACTTGGACAATATGATCCATCAGACTTTAAGGTATTAGAAGTATCTGTCATGAGAAAAGACACTTATGAAGTTTAGGGCAAGCCCCAAAACAGGAGAAGCAAAGTCTAGACACCTGAAGTTCTAGAACAAGACCATGTTATATGCAAGCAGAGATTTGCACACCATTTGAAAAACACTTCTGATCTATAGTAGAAACGGAGTGCCTGGTGGTGGAGAATCGAGTGACTGTGAGGTCAGAGCTGCCCATTATGAGCTGGGTTCTGTCAGAACCAATTCATAAGGTAGATGGATCCAGCAGTAATTCGTCGTAAGATGGACGTGAGGAATCTGGGATCAGCATAAACAAGGCCAGAGAGTACAGATAAGCTACATGAACAGGTGGCCCAGAACCCATGTCACCCACTGTGCTTCATCAGTAACTCTTCCTTAGTTTATACCTATGGATAAATATGTGTGTGGAGGTAGAGAGGAGTCTCTTATGAATAGCTGACAGAGGAGAAAAAAGTCTGAGCTTGGCTCATGGATAGGACATCTCCATATGCTGAAGATGGACTGCTGCTGTATTATCCCAAGTCCCATTCAGGGGTGAACATAAAAGAGAAGAGTTAGGCAAAACTCTTTCACCGGGTAGAGATTTGAGTGGTACACTTGACATTTTGTAAGAAAATAAAACTGTCCTGATATAAAATACACACACACACACACACACACACACACACACACACACACACACACATATATATATATATATAGGAATTCAAAGGAAGCATTGAATACCTTACCTAATTGGCCAGAGGCCTCCTGGGACACTGAAAGATAGGGCTCGAGAATATCTAGAGAAGAAGTAGATGGATGGATTCTGGAATTCCATGAAGTGTGAAGAACTTTGAATTACATATTAACACATATTGGAGAGCAGCTAACAAGTAGGAGACTACTACTAAAACCAATTAGAGGAATTCAGCCAGTGACATTGAATGTCACTTGACATTAGTCATTCTCTGTCATCAGCCATCCCAAGCGTTGACACAGTGTGCACACGAATTGAAAAGACATGGTGGCAGGAAGGGAAGCTATGCATAAGCCCAACACAATGGGGTCCCATTCACCAAGTCTGATCCAGCTATTCCTGCCACCAACTGTCTAAACTATCAGCCACAAAGACCAATGCTGACTTTCTGATATGGGACCATATCTCAAAGAAAGTAACAAGTCACGTGGTAGAAATTGGGTACAATGGGCCCCTACCACTCCTTCCCTCAACTGACACCAGCATGAAATGCTCCCAAATTACCTTTAGAATAGTCTGAGATCTTGAATGCAGCTACATAGCAGTTCTGCTTCTCCTTTTGCCCAACCTCACTTCCTTCACCCTTCATGGGTATTGTTCTGAGAATGATCCCCAACAAATCTCCTGCAAGAAAAAATCTGTCTGATTGTTTCCCAGGTAGTCCAATCTAAGACAGATGGCAAGGTCCAGGATTTTCCCAATGATCCAAAGTAATTACCTTCAGAAGACAACATGAGTTAATATCAATGGTCATTTTTCCACATCTGCAAATTCAGCAAGATGGTATTACTTCTTAAAAATTTTCTTTCTGCTCAAGGGTGAGTTAGTAGCAGTAATTTGGAGAAAGAAATTATTGTATTTACATTCTATTGAAATTACTTAATGTCTCCCTGTTGTGACCTAGAAAGTCATAGAATTGGGTCTGAGAAAAGCCCCATAAATATGTACAGTCTATCAGAGGGCTTCAAACAAGTAATGCTGTCTCCTTTTATATACTATGAATGGGAAGTTCAGAGATTAGTTGTCTTGCATAAGCTTCATAGTTAATACTAAAGGAGAAATGAGAAAATAAATCTAGCAATATTTACTACTGTGTTTCATTCTATTAATATGCCATTCTTCTAAGTCTTTGAAACCTATTAAAGTCTAAGTAAAATAAATTATTGTAATAAAGAAATTCCATCTACTTCTAAAGAGCTACTTGCTAAAACATTGTGTGCATTTCTCAGATACAATGTTCATATTTCCACCTTGGAAGAGGAGAGTTGTAACTTGGATAACTTGTTGAAGAGAGAAGTGGAAGGATTTGTCTTCAAGAACTTTATAATAAAACTACTTTAAAAATAGGAGAGTCCATCTGGTCCTAAATTTCTGTGGAAAACAAAGGTCTTTCAAACAATCAAGATCTCTTACTGACATTTCAAAAGAAAGAATTTTTTATTCTAAGAAAGTTTAATAGATACAACCTTCATAATCAGATAAGCATTCTTGAGTTGCAGTTTATGCTCATTGCAACATTTTCCATTCTTAGCAGCAATCATAAATAAACCTAAGATCCATCAGGATGTTCTTTTAACTACAGTTAAGAAATGAAAATTCAATGTGACTTATGTATAATTAAATTATTCACTAACTATAAGCCATACTTTTTTACATTCAAATGAGTTAACTAGATTAAGAAAATGCAATATACATAGTGGATAAATAGCCCAGCTAGAATCCACTCTCAGAATCCATCACATACTGGTTTTACCATGTTGAGAAAAATATATAATGTATAAAAATGTACAGAATGTATAATCACAGCTTAGCACTAAAAAAAGTGGAAAAATGAACGGAAAGTAAGAAAAGGATTGGCCAAAAAATTAAAAATAAAGAAGGAAATGACATAATGAGAAAAACAAAAGTATCTTTGTGTAAGGGTAGAAACAAAGAAACTAAATTTTAAAATACAGAAGACAAAGCAGTGATATTTCAAGGGCAATGTTCTGTCTGCCTTTCTTAGAATAAGAGTTTTTTTTGAATGGTTCAAGTAGTTGATTAATTGTGAAAATAGTAAAGGGTATAGTATACTCAAATGTACATTAACTGAGCCAGTGTGGTTGTGCTGGGAAAAACAAATCAACTCAGAGTCAGAGGGACTAGCTCAGAGAACTGGCCCTATTCCTGTCAAATGGATGTCATGAGAAAACTCACTTAGCTTCTCTGTGCCTTGGCATTTTATTTTAAAAATGAAGCCATGGGGATAATTGTTTGCAGTCCTTCTAGTCCTATAATTCTATAGCAATTCTTATTTCTCCAGGCTTGTTATTTTAGGAGATATAAAATATTTAATATTTTTAGAAATATTTCTTGAGTACAGACTCTATTAATAACTGTTTCCATTTATACAGAATTTTATACTTTTAAAGGTTGTTTTCACATTTCTTTACCTCATTTAATACAATGAGTAAGATGTGAGACATGTAATCATATCTCCATTCTACAAATGAGGGATTATACACTCAGAGAAGTTAAGTGACCTACCCAAGATTATAGAGGATTGAAAGGCAGGCAGAAAACTCAAAGCTGGATCCCCTCATTACAGGGCTGCTCCACTGTCTAAGCTATCCACAATTGCATATGAAGAGCTTCTTTGAAATGAGGTTTCACTGGATATAAGAAGTACTCATTGCTCCCAACCTATTTCAGAATTCTCTTGACTCTATGCACTGGAGGACTTGAATAGATGAAAATGTTGGAAGCCCAAATGTACTTATGTGTATATATAGATAATTCCATTTGTGTACATTTTCTCACACAGTTTCAGATTGTCACCATTTTTCAAAATGTAGTTTAGATTTAGAAAAATTGAAAACATTATAGAAATCAATATTTGTTAAAGCACAGTTCCTCCTAATGCCTACTTATTGAAAGATTAAGATATCTTTTGTAATTCTTAACCTCCCACTGTCACCCCAGAAAAGATAATCTATGGTTTGAAAACGTTAGGAAATGCTTCCCTGAGTTAATTAACAGTAACCTTAATTAAAGCTATAGTTGATCAGGGTGTCTTTAGTACGGATGTTTCAGGGCTTTTAATATGCTACTGTGCATTGTGAATTTTCTAAAGGAGGAGACAATACTTAACATTTCTCAGACTTATTTAAGAATTAACTTTTTAAAGGAAAAATCTAATAATTTATTGAACTTCTGTTCTATAGATAACAGTTTATGAGTTTTGTCTCCTTACAGCTAGAAAACGCCTTAGAAATTATTTATTTCAACTTCTACATGTTACAGATGAACAAAATGAAACCCAGAGAGGTCAAATTACTTGCTCAGAGTCACACAGTTACTGAAATGGCTCATGATTAGAACCAAGATCTTCTGACTTCCACTACAGTGTTGTTTTCATTTCACAGAACAACTTTCTGTAAATAAATATGAATTTGAATTGTGAAAATAGTTGTGCCACCTTTTTCATATTTGGCAAAGCCAAAGTCAATTAACATTGATTTAAACAATGTGTAAGCAAAATGTCTTTCCAAATATAAGGTATGTAATTACTAGAGTATGTTTTACCCTAAGTTCAACATGTTTTTAAACACTTTGATTTTCTCTATTCATCAGGGAAATTGAACTTTATAAAACAATATTTTGATTTCCTTTACAAATGTTAGAATCTTTATAAAACTAAAAGATATATTCTAATGGAGAAAAGAAATCATATTGATTATCTACAGTGTACCCAGCATTTTATCTACAATGTATTTAGTTCTCAAGATAACTAACGATAAAAAGATATTAGCTCTGTTTCCAATACTAGATGAAAATTAGGCTCAGAATGTCACTTACAATGTCCTAGACCACATGACCATCAAGTAGAGGAATAAAGACTTCAGTAGAGGTGTGGCGCACCCAAGATGGCCAAATAGGAACAGCTCCAGCCTCCAGCTCCCAGCATGAGTGACACAGAAGACGGGGCATTTCTGCATTTTCAACTGAGGTACTGGGTTCATCTCACTGGGAAGTGCTGGACAATCAGTGCTGGTCAGCTGGTGTAGCCCGACCAGTGAGAACTGAAGCAGGGCGAGGCATTGCCTCACCTGGGAAGTGCAAGGGGGAAGGGAATCCTTTTTCTTAGCCAAGGGAAACTCAGACACACAACACTTGGAAAATCAGGTAACTCCCACCCTAATACTGCACTTTACCAAGGGTCCTAGCAAATGGCATACCAGGAGATTATATCCCACACCTGGCTCAGAGGATCCCACCACCACAGAGCCTCCCTCATTGCTAGCACAGCAGTCTGAGATCTAACTGCAAGGCGGCAGTGAGGATGGGGAAGGGGCGCCTGCCATTGCTGAGGCTTAAGTAGGTAAACAAAGCCACCTGGAAGCTCGAATTGGGTGGAGCCCACCACAGCTCAAGGAGGTAGGCCTGTCTCTGTAGACTCCTCCTCTGGGGACAGGGCATAGCTAAACAAAAAGCAGCAGAAACCTCGGCAGAGGTAAAGGCCCTGTCTGATAGCTTTGAAGAGAGCAGTGGATCTCCCATTACGGAGGCTGAGATCTGAGAATGGACAGACTGCCTGCTCAAGTGGGTAATTGACCCCTGAGTAGCCTAACTGGGAGACATCCCCTACTAGATGCAGACCAACACCTCACACCTCACACGGCAGGGTACACCCCTGAGACAAGCTTCCAGAGCAACAATCAGACAGCAACACTTGCTGTTCAACAATATTCTATCTTCTGCAGCCTTTGCTGCTGATGCCCAGGCAAACAGGGTCTGGAGTGGACCTCAAGCAAACTCCAACAGACCTACAGCTGAGGGCCCTGACTGTTATAAGGAAAACTAACAAACATAAAGGACAACCACATCAAAACCCCATCAGTACATCAACATCATCAAAGACCAAAAGCTGATAAAACGACAAAGATGGGGAAAAAGCAGTGCAGAAAAGCTGGAAATACAAAAAATCAGAGCTCATCTACCCCTCCAAAGGAACGCAGTTCATCGCCAGCAAAGGAACAAAGCTGGACGGAGAATGACTTTGACGAGTTGAGAGAAGAAGACTTCAGTGGATCAAACTTCTCAGAGCTAAAGGAGTAACTACATAACCAGTGCAAAGAAACTAAAAACCTTGAATAAAGAGTAGATGAATGGATAACTAGAATAATCAATGTGGAGAACACCTTAAAAGAACTGATAGAGATGAAAACCATAACACAAGAACTACGTGACAAATGCACAAGATTCAGTAACCGACTCAATCAACTGGAAGAAAGAGTATCAGCGATTGAAGATCAAATGAAGGAAATGATGCGAGTAGAGAAGTGTGGAGAAAAAAGAGTAAAAAGAAATTAACAAAGCCTCCAAGAAATATGGGATTATGTGAAAAGACCAAATCTATGTCTGATTGGTGTGCCTGAAAGTGACGGGGAAAATGGAACCAAGTTTGAAAACACTCTTCAGGATATCATCCAGGAGAACTTCCCCAACCTAGTAAGGCAGGCCAACATTCAAATTCAGGAAATACAGAGAACTCCACAAAGATACTCCTGGAGAAGAGCAACTTCAAGACACCTAATTGCCAGATTCACCAAAGTTGAAATGAAGGAAAAAATGTTAAGGGCAGCCAGAGAGAAAGGTCAGGTTATACACAAAGGGAAGCCCATCAGACTAACAGCAGATCTCTCAGCAGAAACTCTACAAGCCAGAAGAGAGTGGGGGCCAATATTCAACATTCTTAAAGAAAAGAATTTTCAACCCAGAATTTCATATCCAGCCAAACTAAGTTTCATAAGTGAAGGAGAAATAAAATCCTTTACAGACAAGCAAATGCTTAGAGATTTTGTCACCACCAGGCCTGCCCTACAAGAGATCCTGAAGGAAGCACTCAACATGGAAAGGAACAACCGTTACCAGCCATTGCAAAAACATGTCAAAATGTAAAGTCCATCGATGCTAGGAAGAAACTGTATCAACTAGCTAGCAAAATAACCAGTTAATATCACAATGACAGGATCAAGTTCACACATAACAATATTAACCTTAAATGTAAATGGACTAAATCCTCCAATTAAAAGACACAGACTGGCAAACTGGATAAAGAATCTAGACCCATCAGTTTGCTGTATTCAGGAGACCCATCTCACATGCAGAGACACACATAGGCTCAAAATAAAGGGATGGAGGAAGATCTACCAAGCAAATGGAAAACAAAAAAAAAAAGAGCAAGGGTTGCAATCCTAGTCTCTGATAAGACAGACTTTAAGCCATCAAAGATCAAAAGAGACAAAAAAGGCCATTACATAATGGTAAAGGGATCAATTCATCAGAAAGAGCTAACTATCCTAAATATAT